TTTACATTGACCTCGTAGAGTTCATTGTAGTCGACTGATCCAGTTACATCGATGATGGATGCTGTGTGTATGACTGTGGAGGCTCCTCGACAGGCTTTTCGGAGATCTCCTTTGGCCCGAATGTCTCCCTCAAAAACATTCACCTTTGTGTGATGTGCGGATTCTGGCAGAAAATCAAGCAATAAGTCAGTCAGTCATAGCCAAATTTTCAATAGGAAAAGGAATCTTGCGAAATATCGAGAGACATAACAAACTTATGTCCATTCATCCATCCATCTTGTATATCCGTTTATCTACTCATTACAGTTCATGGTACAGATATTTTATGGGTTCCACTGAAATAAAGGTAGCTGATCATGAGAAAGACCTTGGTGTGTATGTTGATGCTTCCATGTCCCATTCTCGCCAGTGTGGGGAAGCATTAAAAAAGGCCAATATGATGTTGGGTTACATCTCTAGGTGTGTAGAGTTTAATTCAAGGGAGGTGATGCTACAATTATACAATTCCTTGGTAAGACCCCACCTAGAATATTGTGTGCAGGTTTGGTCACCATACCTTAAAAAGAATATTGCTGCCTTGGAAAAGGTTCAACGTAGGGCTACAAGAATAATTCCTGGTCTTAGACAAATGTCGTATGAGGAGAGGTTAGCTAAGCTGAATCTGTTCAGCCTCAAGCAAAGGAGATTAAGGGGGGACATGATCCAGGTATATAAGATTCTAACAGGTCTTGATGCTGTTCAGCCAAATGGCTACTTTAATATTAGTTTAAATACAAGAACTCGTGGCCATAGGTGGAAATTAGCAGGAGAACATTTTAAACTGAATTTGAGAAAACACTTCTTTACACAGCGTGTAGTTAGAGTATGGAATAGTCTTCCTGTTAGTGTAGTGCAAGCTAAAACCCTGGGTTCTTTTAAATTAGAGCTAGATAAGATTTTAACAACTCTAAGCTATTAGTTAAGTTCTCCCCAAATGAGCTTGATGGGCCGAATGACCTCCTCTCATTTGTAAATTTCTTATGTTCTTATGGTGAATTACAAAGTTTCAGGGGACAAACAGGAAAGAGTGGCACTCTTTTTGTTGGCTATCAGTGTTAATTACTGAAAGCAATTCAGTTGAGTAGAGTATAAGCTACCTATAAACGCAGCTGACAATATATAGTTGTGAAAACCAATTGAAAACCTGTTCAGTTTTTTTTTCAGTTTCAAGAACATTGATTCTTTTAAAAATTTCTCAAAAGTGAATATTCTATTTAAAAATAATTCAAAATTATTTTCAAAAACAACAGCTGAATAATATTCTTAAAGGATCATTCCCCGGATTGTTTGGAATTATTAAACTATTAAATGGAAAGGTTATACAAGTAAAACTAAGATGCAGAAATAACTTCTTCTTGCTGTACTTATATATACATGAAAACATTTTGAGCATGATAAATTTAATGTAGAAAATTTAGCATTTACCTTTCACAACCTGGATAACTTTGGGTATAATGACTTTGTCTAGCAGACGGATCTCTGCCACACCCTCCTCCAGGAGCAAC